AGGTGCTGACATCACTGCTTCTTACGAACGGTCGCTGGTCTGTGGGCGTGGTCCGGTGTTGGCATGGTGGCAGTTGGAATCCTTCAAGTCCACCGCGGACGATCGACGAAAAGCTAACGTCTGTCCGTGGACGGAAGAGATGAGGCGTGGACGGGGGTTGAGGAGTAGAAGAGGGAGGGGTACGATGTGGGGCCAATGCTCGTCGGTGGACGGAAGATGGGCGTTCTATTCTCACGAACCTGAAGGTAGGGAATGCAAGTACTATGCACGGTCGTGGTGGGCTGGGATGCTGCAGGGGCAGTGGAGGTGACATGACTGGATGAATTTGGACGTGGGGGATTTCAATGGCTGTCTGGCCAACAAAGGACAACGCACGCGGATCGGCGACCGTTTGTGAGGGCCAGGCCTGGCAGCTCAGAGCTGAGCAGGGGATGCTTGCGGTGATGCAGCCCAGGTGCTGACATCACTGCTTCTTACGAACGGTCGCTGGTCTGTGGGCATGGTCCGGCGTTGGCACGGTGGCAGTTAGAATCCCTAAAGTCCACCGCGGACGAGCGACGAAAAGCGAACGTCCGTCCGTGGACGGAAGAGAGAGACGGAAGATGGGCGTGGACGGGGTGGAGGATAGAACAGGGAGGGGCGCGCTGCGGGGTTCAGGCCCGTCTGTGGGAAGAGCGACGAAAAGCGAACGTCCGTCCGTGGATGGAGGAGAGGAGACGGAAGAGGGGCGTGGACGGGGCGGGGGTGCTGCAGGGGCAATGGTTTTGACATGATAGGATGAATTTGGAGTTGAGGGATTGCAATGGCCATCTTGCCAACAAAGGACAACGCGCGCGGATCGGCGACCGTGCGCCGGGCAATGGAAGCGGGAGGCGGATGCACGGGTCTGCAGAGAATGCGTGCGGAACCACGCGGCAAACGATACGCCCTGGCAGTGCAAAGTCTGCAAAGCCTGGAAGCAAGAAGATGCCTTTGCCACAATGTACGCACGCCCCAGTGCACTTTGTATCGCGTGTGCCGGACGTGCGAAGTACAGAAGCGGTGTTACCAATGCGGCACGGCCAAGCCGGCAAGTGCGTTCGGGGCGGCCGCGTGGACAACGCACCACGCAGACCGACGTCTCTGTAGAGACTGCGCGAGCCAAGTGAAGCCGTGTTTCCGGTGCCGCGTGGCAAAGGCGGAGGCTGCCTTTGGGGTTACCGCGTGGAAGGCAGACGTGCAGACCGACGTGTCTGCAAGGCGCTGGGAAGCGTTTGAGGGCGCCTGGACGTCACCTTCGGGGCCCTAAAGAAAAGAGGTGGAGGCCGAGGTGGCTTCCAGAGGCTCAGTTCTAAGGCTGCAGTGCACGGGCTGCCAGAGGCTCCCTCCCCAGGCTCCCGCCAGACGCAGGCAAGGCTGCGACGCAGGAGTAAGTAAGCCTAAGGCGCTGGGAAGCGTTTGAGGGCGCCTGGACGTCACCTTCGGGGCTCTAAAGAAAGGACGTGCAGGCCGAGGTGGCAGCTTCCAGAGGCTCAGTTCTAAGGCTGCAGCGCACGGGCTGCGCGTTCCAGAGGCTCCCTCCCCACAGGCTGGCGCTGGGAAGCGTTTGAGGGCGCCTGGACGTCACCTTCGGGGCCCTAAAGAAAAGAGGCGCAGGCGGAGGTGGCAGCTTCCAGAGGCTCAGTTCTAAGGCTGCAGCGCACGGGCTGCGCGTTCCAGAGGCTCCCTCCCCAGGCTCCCGCCTCACGCAGGCAAGGCTGCGATGCGGGAGTAAGTAAGCCTAAGGCGCTGGGAAGCGTTTGAGGGCGCCTGGA